CATGTGACCCCTCACTCTTCCACCAAACTTTACCAAAATAATTTTAAAGTTTTCCCATTCTCACTAACCAATGTTTGTTTACATGTGGAAATTCTGTTAAGTTTTGTTTGTTGTTGGCACAAGTTTTGCGTCTTGAGTTTGTCTTGTATTTTGTTTGGTGTTGCCACTGGCCATGTGGTTCTATCATACAACAGACAAAAATATCCTTTGCTGCTGAATTCCAGAAAACTTATAGCTGATTTTCTTTCTTTCCTTTTCTTTTTTTTTTTTTTTTTTTGGTCGTTCATGGGCCTGAGCTTTGGGCCTGGGCGCTGTCCCTCAGCTCTTCAGCTCAAGGCTAGCGCTCTACCACTTGAGTCACAGCACCACTTCTGGCTTTTTCTGTGTATGTGGTGCTGAAGAATCGAATCCAGGGCCTCATGCATGCCAGGCAAGCACTCTACCACTGAGCCACCTTCCCAGCTCCATGATTTTCATTTTTTTTTAACCTAAATGCACCTTAAAACTTTTGTGCACAAGTGTGTGTGTAAACATGTTCAAAATAAGCTCATTTTCATACATAAAAACTGTCACCATGGTGTGAGGAAAGTAGTCCTTCCTATCAAACTAAAGTGCTTCTATCTTAAATATTGATTTTTTGGTGCTGATATTTCCTGAAATTGCTTTTTAACTTCAACTGTAACTATTATCTGTGCTGCCAGAGACCAACAGCCATGTGAGAAATGCAAATCCTGTGCCAAGGAAGTTAACAAGTATCCTGAGGTTAGAAGGAAAATCTTTATCAATGCAAGTAGTAAAATACTTAGGTACTTAGAAAGTAGGCCTAATTCCTTAACTAGGAGAAAGGACAGTTTGGATTGAGATAAAAATCTAGCAAACTGGCTCTGCCCAGGCAGCCTGACTGTGGGTGGAAAAACAGTAAATTGCCTTGAGGAAAGTTATTGTGCAGTTCTGAGATAACCAAGACTTAGCTGGATCCCAGACCAAAGGAAAAAAGTGGGTAATTTTAAACCTAAGCCTCAAAAAAGTTCATCAGATTTGTGTGTGAACACATGTGTCTAATGTGTTTCCCAAGTATGTATGTTTTAGATACAGAGCTGCATCTTAATTATATCTGAAAGTGCTATTTTCAGTTAAAAAGTAACTAGATTGTTTAATCAGTTGCTGTTTCAAAACTCTCACATCTATTGTTGAGTTTTGTGATTATGGATTTTGTGCTCTGCAGCATTTAGTCAGACCCATTGGGGGGAGAGGGAATAAATAACTCTTCCAAGTACTTTTTGGTCAGACTTAACTTTTATTCTTGGTAAGTTTTAGGTAAGCCCTGTGTCAAAACTATTTCTATTGATCTCCTTGTTACTTCAGTTGGGAGTAAGGGGCTATTACAAAGACTCATTAGATTTGAGGATCGTGCTTCAAAGCCAGCCATGGCAGAAAAGTCCCTGTGAGACTCTTACGACTAATTAATCAGCAGAATGCTGGAAGTGGTACTGTGGCTCAAAATGGTAGAGCACTAGCCTTGAACAAAAGAGCTCTGGGACAGTGCCCAGGCCCTGAGTTCAAGCCCCAGAACTGATAAAAGAGGCCAAGTGGGACATTAGCCCAGCAAGAAGCAGACACCCACATGACAAAGCTTGTCCTGGGGATGAGAGTCTATCCAGAGGCAGTTGGAAAAACTTCAGATAAGAGAGAATGATGTCATACCCTAAATGGAGTTCACTTTGCATGCCCTTTCAAAATTAACCAGAGCCAGGAGACCATAGAAAATAGTTGGTAAGCATGCCTATCTATGTTCATACCTGTCTTTTTTCTAACTGGGCAGGAACTTACATCTATTACCTGCTATTTCTATTTATAGTGGATCTCCCAACCATACTCTATAATATTAAGGTCACCCACCAGTCCTTTAACCACTCCAATCCAGCCTCAGCTTCTGTCCACTATGCCCTCCTCTACCCAGTCACTGATGTTAATTAGTCAGGAGTAGTAAGGGACATGATCCACTAACTCCAGGACCGCCTAGAACATAGGAGACAGGGGCTAGCCAAGTCACCCAATTTTTTTCTTTTCCATCCTTCTGCAGTCTGTAGGCCCAATTATCATGATCATACTGGCAATATATATAGGCTCCTGCCTTGTCAAATGTCTGATTTCAGGAACATGTGCGAACATTCACATCCCAATGGGTGACCAACTCCTTCATGTCCACGGGATACCAGCCACTCGACAAAGAGGAGCCCTAGCCAACACAAGACCTCACTGAAACCAACATCTAAACATTGCCTCTCATCAGCAGGAAGTAGCTAAAGAAGGACAACCATTGACCTTTTTTCCAGCCTCCCCTTTTTAGTCTTAGTCCAATTTTTCTATCTATCCAGAGACTGAATATGAAGAATTGACCCCCCCAGGTCAAGCAAAACCCCAGGAGCACACTCATGTGCTAACTGCAGGCAGGTCATTCTGACCTGTGCCTGTCTGAAAGTCCACTCACCCTGGCCAAGGGTGCTTGCCCTTTGCCCCCAAGAGACCACAGCCTGTTATTTTATTTCTGTTTCCTTGTTAAGACCAATAGAAACCTGACCCCAACTCCACCTCCTCACACAACCTTCATCAGAGGAAAGGTTGCTTAACTCTCACTGCTGTAATAAACAATCCTCACCTGCTGAGAGCAACTCTGGCCTATTTTTTGATCCTCCACTATCGTAACACATACTACATACAATTCCAACTCTGTAACATTCTGGAAAAGTTAAAACTTAGAGTCAGTAAAAACAAACAAAAAAACAAAACCAGGCTGACAGAATGGTGAAGGGCAGGAGGCTTAAACAAGTACAGCACAGAAGAATTTTAGGACAATGAAACTACTCTGTATGCTACTATAATGGTGGACTTGAATCATCATACATTTGTCCAAACCCACAGAATACACACCAAGAGTGAGCCCTAATGTAGTTTTATATTCTGGGTGATACTGACATGTCCATGGGGGTTCGCAGCACACCCCACTCTATTGGAGAATTTGAGAGAGGGGAGGCTGTGCATTTATGGGGCAGGGAGTATATGGGAATTGTCTATAATTTCTACTCAATTTTGAACCTAAAACTCCAAAAAATAAAACCCACTTGAAGAAAAATATACTTTATCCATTCCTATGGTTTGAGGTTAGCCCAGGCAAAACTGGTGAAATCCTGTTTCTATTTGTCCCCCTTATCTTTGGTGCTCAGGGCCTTATGCATGCCTGGGAAAAATAAGCTAGGTGAGGTGGTACAGGCCTGAAATCCCAGGCCTGAGTAGCAGAGGCAGGAGAATTTAGCCTGAGGTCACCCTGAGGAAAAACGCAAGACCTTAGTTGAAAAGCAAACTAAAAGCAAAGAGGACAGAGTTGGACTCAAGTGGGAGAGCATCTGGCTAACCAGTGCAAGACCTTGAGTTCAACCCTCAATACTGTCAAGAAAAAGAAAATTACAAATATCAAAAGTAAACATGGGTGCAATGGTTCAAGCTACTTGGAAGAAGATCAGGAATTGTAGTTCAAAGCCAGCCTGGTCATAAAATTTATGAAACTCGAATTTACTCAACTGCCTGACACATCCCAGCAATAGGAAAAAGTAGGAAGATTGAAGGACAGACATAAAAACAAAGAGGCTACCTCAAAAATAACCAATACAAAAAGGAGCTGGAGGTATGGCTCAAGTGATCATTCAGCTGCCTTGCAATAGCAAGGCCTTGAGTTCAAACCCCAGTACTACTCAAACAAAGTGTTCCACAATAGGTGAGAGGCTAAATGTAATACTCCATAGCTAATAAAAAGAAGGAGCAGGACTTTAGGTGTCAACACTAAATAACTAAAATTCTGCAAAGAAAGTGAGTGCAGAAGATTAAGCTTAAATAAGACTCCATCACTGAAAAACCTTAATGTCCATGTGCAGACACTTCTCTTTTTCTTTAAAGGCCCTGAACATCATATACCAAATTGTTAAAGGCAAGGCAGGAGGGATTGGTTAAAGGGAAATTCAATTTCCTTGCATATTTCTGTACTTAGTTTTAGTTTCCAATTTTGGTCTTCCCATCATGCAACTTGGTGCTGGAAATCACACCCAGTGACTTATGCACACCTAGAAAGTGCTCTACCATTGACTCATAGCCTCAGCCCTGCCTTAGTTTTTTATAAGCACATGGTACTTTTCCAAATCCAAAATAAAGCCAGGTGCCAGGGGCTCAAGCCTATAATCCTAGCTACCCAGGAGGCTGAGCTCTGTGGATCATGGTTAGAAGCCAGCCCAGACAGGAAAGTCCGTGAGACTTTAATCTCATATTAACCACCCAAAAGCTGGAAGTGGAGGTAGCTCAAATGGTGAAGTGCCTACCTTTCATGAAAAAGGTAAGCGAACAGCGCCCAGGCCCTGAGTTCAAGTCTCAGTAGCAGAACAAAAAAGTCCTGAGGTTTGAATTCAGGGCCTGGCCACTGTGCAGGAGCCTTTTTACTCAAGGCTAGCATTCTACCACTTGAAACACACCTCCACTTCTAGCTTTTTGGTGGTTAATTGGAGGTAACAGTCTCGTGGACTTTCCTGCCTGGGCTGGCTTTAAATCACAATCTTCAGATCTCGGCCTCCTGAGTTGCTAGGATTACAGCAATGAATCACTGGTACGTAGTCACCACATTTTTATTTTTATTTATTTTTTTTTGTCGGTCATGGGCCTTGAACTCAGGGCCTGAACGCTGTCCCTCAGCTCTTCAGCTCAAGGCTAGTGCTCTACCACTTGAGCTACAGCGCCACTTCTGGTTTTCTGGTGGTTTATTGGAGATAGGAGTTTCACGAACTTTCCTGCGCTGGCTGGCTTTGAACCGAGATCTTCAGATCTCAGCCTCCTGAGTAGATAGGATGATAGGCATGAGCCACCGGCTCCCGGTTCACACACATTTTTAGAATAGCACTTACCACTTTTACACCACCCTCAAGAACTGAAGAAAGGAGACTCATCAGTAGAAAACTCACCCAGCAGTGGTCCCCTGGGAAGGACCTTCGACAGACTATGCAGGTAGCTGAGGCAAAAGTCCCATGAGCTTCCACCAGCTTTCCAGCTGGGATGCCAGACACTGAAATTGAAACCAAAGTTCAATGTTAACAGCCTGAGATAGCTGAAGTCTGGGGCTTGGCAAGCCTAAACTTTAAACAAACTGGAATGGCTAATAAACAGACTAAAATGTAACTTCTCAGCCGGGCATGGTGATCAGCACACCTCTAATACCAGCACTCAAGAGACTAAGGCAAGAGAATTATGAGTTCCAGACCAGCCTGGGCTACAAAGCAAGACTGTCTCTAAACAAAAACAGAAGGTGAAGAGCTGGAGACTTCTCAAAAAGTGTGCTATTGCTGTTCAGTTCTGAAAGGCTTGGGGCAGAAACCTCCAGGCAGCTTCCCACCAGTGTCCCAACTACCGTGCTGGAGCGATGGCCCGGCAACTCCACCCTCCTCCAAGGCCTGCCCAGCTGCTCCTTGTGAGAAGAGAGGGCCTCGGGCCTTTTTGCTCCTGGAGCAAAGCAGGTCTTTTCAGATGACAGTACTTCTGCAGACTGGCGGGGCGGCTGCTGCTCGCCAATGCACCAGTACTGCACCTTGGGCAAGGCCCTGACAGCGCTTCCCTCACACAAATAGCCTGGCAAGCACAGCCTGCACAACGCTACTGCAACCACAGCAATTTCACCAATAAATATCACAGGCTGACCTGGACAGCACTGAATATTTGGTGATTCTTCTGTGTGATAACAGTTGTCTTAAATAACTGTGGTGATCTATGTTCTAAAGTAATCTCCCAAAGATACCCACTGGTTTACAGATTGTTTCTAAATTAAATTGGGGCAGGAGTGTGAAGGAAATGCAGGAAGAGCACAGACCAACAAGGACTGACATGTCAGTAATGAAGAGTTTTGGAGAAGACATAAGAGCTCCTTGCAACCTTCTCTTTATGTACTTGACATATTTCTTTTCTTTCTTTTTCTGTGCCAGTTCTGGGGTTTGAGCTCAGGGCTTGGGCACTTTTTTGCTCGTTAGTGCTCTACCACTTGAGCCACAGCTCTACTTCTGGCTTTTTGATGGCTAAATGGAGTTAAGAGTCTCACAGACTTTCCTGCCTAGGCTGGCTTCAAACTTAATCCTCAGAGCTCAGCTTTCTGAGTAGCCAGGATTATAGGCATGAGCCAAGTGGATCCACATATTTATTAAAGGACAAAAAGGAGATCATCACACTAGATTCATAAACCAATGTGAATTTTAGTTCTTCCTCAAACTCACAACCCAGTAACTTTGTAGGAATAGGGAGGCTCCCAACAATTGTCTGGAACACTTGGAGAGTGCAAAGGCATATCCAGTTGGCTTGAAACAGCCCCAGGGATGCCCAGCCCTACCTGAAAACAAGCATAGAATGTTCGAGGGGGATAGAGGGCTCACCTCTCTCAAGCCCGTCGATGTTTTGTGTATAGAGCCGCAGAAGCAGACCCTTGTCATGGAGCAGTCGGAGGAAGTAGTGAGTGACATTGGGCCTATAGTTCCCAGGGTACAGCTCCTTGGCCAAAGTAAAAAAGGGCTTGGGGTTGTGAAAGAAAAATTCAAGTTCAAAAATGGCCTCAGGGTATGGGATGTTGTACTGCTGGAGGTTGCTGTAAAGGCCGCTCCCGGGAGATCTGTGGGATAAAAGGAAGAAGTCTAACCCTTCAGAAGAGTGGAGACATAGCATCAATGCCACTGGGGGTTGAAGTGTACCTGAAATCTGGAATGCCACTAGGTGTGCTAATGCCAGCCCCAACCATGGCCACAACTCTCTGGCAGGCTCTGGCACGAATCAGCTCAGCAATATCCTGAAGGGAAAGCTTCTCCTTCTCATGATTGCCTCCATTTCCAAAGAGGCCTGAAGCACCCACAGAAAGAGATATGAATCTTCTTCCACCTGTAGCACTGACAGCAAGAGCAGAGCAGAAAGGCAGCAGACAACAATCAGTCTCAAACTAGCAAGAATGTGTATGATTCAACCCTTCCACCATTTAAAACCGGCACTTCTCCCAGGCTCCCTAAAATAACTACTTTTCTCACCACAGATAACTACTAGCAGAGTAGTCCTGAATTAGAAATCAAGATTTACTTGGGGGCAAAAAGACTGGTTTAATGGGGATTATATAAATTAGAATAGCATACCGAAGTTCAAGCTAGGCAAAAACCATTCCTTTATGGGGGTGGGAGAATGTTCTCATCAAAGCTCTACACCTTAATGTGGCAGGTATACAGTGTGACATTTGAAGAGTATATGGTATACAGTGACATATGACAAATATACAATGACATTCGAAGAAAATTAAAACTTTCATGCTTATGTATTATTGGGAAGAAAGCTAGGCTCTAGTGAATATTCCATAAAGAAACATCCACACCTGACAGCTCAAGTCCAGACTGTCACAACTCAGCAGCCAAGCTGCCAAGGTTAGACAGCAGGCAAGGCAGTGTGTACACTACAGGTCAAGGATCTCCCAGGGAGGCTCTGGGATTCTTGGGTCACCTTCAGAAACCAGGAACTAACAACATTAGGAGTTTGAAGTTTATCTTTCAGAGGAAAAAAAAAACACATAGCAGGGCCTTGGGATCTGTAAACTATTCAACATCTGGGAGAGTGACAGAAGAAAACCAAAAAGGTAAGTAATACAGGATCTATGGCAACTCTACTGAGGTCTGCACAGAGAAGCTCAGGCACTACTGTTTCAGGTGGCTCTCTGGAAGACCTCCTGGGTCTACTCTAGAGCTTGACTCTTGGGCCCTCCTAACATCTAATCAAGTGCAGCTCCTCCCCTTACTCTGGCAACCTTCTGTGAGGTGGGCCAAGGGCGTATTTCTTATAACCTGAGAGCTGTGCAGCCACTGGTCCATTCTTTTATCAGATGTCCTTGATGACTTTCTTTGGCAGTGTCTCTGTCTACATTATGGAGAAGTGAAAAGTTTATGACACCCTCTTCAAATAAATGAAGTGAAAGCCAAGTAGACACAGTAACAGGCGACTAAGAGTATTTCCTTTGTTTGCCATGCATGCCAGAAGATGCTAAAGGCACATCTTTAGAGGTGAGGACAATTCAGAGCCTATATTCCAGGAGGAGGATCCTAATAGTGCTTTCTTTTGCCTTTAGTGTGGGAGTGGCACACACCCATCTCCTTTACTCCGCCTACCCCGGCCCTGGCCCAAGGTCTCGGTACTACTGGCACCTGAGGACTCCCTACAGTGCAGCGCTAAGCTTTCCACTTGCTCCTCGAGCCCCGGCTTCAGCCCGCCCCTCCGAGAGCCTCTGTCCACCGAGAAGGCCCACAGGCCAGGTCAAGGCCCAGCCCGCACCCCAGGGGCCCCTCTGAGGGCGGCTCCCGGCTCCGGGCCGCGGCCGCGCAGGTCGCGGGGTTCAGCGCCGAGCAGGACGGGGTGCGGCTCGGCGGCCGTCCGCTGCACGACCTTCCCGGAGGGGGCCTCCCGGCGCCGCGGGCCCGGCCGGGCGCCCGCTCACCGCGGAGCCGCCGGGCCGGGCCGCGCGGAGCTCCCGCCGCCCGCCCGGCCCGCTCACCTCCCAGGCCGCACAGCCTGAGCGCGGCCAGCGCCCGCTGACCCCGCAGCGCCATGGTGCTCCCGGGCGCGTCCCTGCCGCTCGGTCACGTGCCTCCAGGCCACGGCCCCGCCCCGGGCCGTCACGTGAGGACCCGCGCTCGGCCCCGCCCCTTAGTGTCACGTGCAGACCCGAGCTCAGCCCCGCCCCTTGGTGTCACGTGCAGACCCGAGCTCAGCCCGCCCCTTGGTGTCACGTGCAGACCCGAGCCAGGCCCCGCCCCTTGGTGTCACGTGCAGACCCGAGCCCGGCCCCGCCCCTTGGTGTTACGTGCAGACCCGAGCTCGGCCCGCCCCTTGGTGTCAGGACCCGAGCTCGGCCCCGCCCCTTGGTGTCACGCGTGGGTCTGAGCTCGGCCCGCCCCTTGGTGTCAGGACCCGAGCTCGGCCCCGCCCCTTGGTGTCACGCGTGGGTCTGAGCTCGGCCCGCCCCTTGGTATCAGGACCCGAGCTCGGCCCCGCCCCTTGGTGTCACGCGTGGGTCTGAGCTCGGCCCGCCCCTTGGTGTCAGGACCCGAGCTCGGCCCCGCCCCTTGGTGTCACGCGTGGGTCTGAGCTCGGCCCGCCCCTTGGTGTCAGGACCCGAGCTCGGCCCCGCCCCTTGGTGTCACGCGTGGGTCTGAGCTCGGCCCGCCCCTTGGTGTCAGGACCCGAGCTCGGCCCCGCCCCTTGGTGTCACGCGTGGGTCTGAGCTCGGCCCGCCCCTTGGTGTCAGGACCCGAGCTCGGCCCCGCCCCTTGGTGTCACGCGTGGGTCTGAGCTCGGCCCGCCCCTTGGTGTCAGGACCCGAGCTCGGCCCCGCCCCTTGGTGTCACGCGTGGGTCTGAGCTCGGCCCGCCCCTTGGTATCAGGACCCGAGCTCGGCCCCGCCCCTTGGTGTCACGCGTGGGTCTGAGCTCGGCCCGCCCCTTGGTGTCAGGACCCGAGCTCGGCCCGCCCCTTGGTGTCACGTGCAGACCCGAGCCCGGCCCCGCCCCTTGGTGTCACGCGTGGGTCTGAGCTCGGCCCGCCCCTTGGTGTCACGTGCAGACCCGACCTCGGCCCCGCCCCTTGGTGTCACGTGCAGACCCGACCTCGGCCCGCCCCTTGGTGTCAGGACCCGAGCTCGGCCCCGCCCCTTGGTGTCACGCGTGGGCCTGAGCTCGGCCCGCCCCTTGGTGTCACGTGCAGACCCGAGCTCGGCCCCGCCCCTTGGCGTCACGCGTGGGCCCGAGCTCGGCCCCGCCCCTTGGCGTCACGCGTGGGCCCGAGCTCGGCCCGCGGTCGGCGCCGGCCCGCACCCGCAGGTGCAGAGGCGGACTCCGGCTGACGGCGGCCCCCGGGGTCGAGCGCCCGGCCGTCAGCCCCCGAGGCCGGCCCGGGGAGCGCACCTGCCTCCCACGGCGGTGGCGGAAACCCGCGCGGCCCGACGGCGTGGCTCGGCGCTGGTCCCGGCGCGGGGAGGCCCGTCCCCGCGGGACCCCGGGCTCGCGCGCAGCTCAAGCGCCCGGAGCAGCGCCGCGGGCTGGAGCGTGGCTCCGCGGCCGAGCGCTGGCCTGGCGCGCACGACGCCCGGGTTCGAGGCCTCAGAACCCAGGGGGTCGAGCGCTAGCCTCGGGCAGAAGCAGCTCCGGGCAGCGCCGGCACGGGAGAGCAGCCCGGGCGCGGGCGCGGGCGGAGCGAGCCCCGGGCCGGGGCGGGGCGCAGAGACGTTACCCGGGCAACCCGCGCGCCGCCGGCGCTGGGCTCCCAGCAGGCCACGCGGCGCGGCGCTTCCGGGAGTGACCGAGCACTTCCGGCCGCCGTCCCCGCCGCCGCCGCCCTCTCGGCTGTGAGGAGACCCGAGCTCGGCCACCATGAAGGACGTGCCGGGCTTTCTGCAGCAGAGCCAGAGCTCCGGGCCCGGGCAGGCCGCCGTGTGGCACCGACTCGAGGAGCTCTACACCAAGAAGTGAGCCCGGGAGCCTGCGCGGCGCGGGCGAGGCGGCGCGGGCGAGGCGGCGCGGGCGAGGCGGGCAGGCGGCGCGGGCGAGGCGGGCAGGCGGCGCGGGCGAGGCGGCGCGGGCGAGGCGGCGCGGGCGAGGCGGCGCGGGCAGGAGGCGCGGGCGAGGAGGCGCGGGCAGGCGGCGCGGGCGAGGCGGCGCGGGCGAGGCGGCGCGGGCAGGAGGCGCGGGCGAGGCGGCGCGGGCGAGGCGGGCAGGCGGCGCGGGCGAGGCGGGCAGGCGGCGCGGGCGAGGCGGGCAGGCGGCGCGGGCGAGGCGGGCAGGCGGCGCGGGCGAGGCGGGCAGGCGGCGCGGGCAGGCGGCGCGGGAGAGGCGGCGCGGGCGAGGCGGGCAGGCGGCGCGGGCGAGGCGGCGCGGGCGAGGCGGGCAGGCGGCGCGGGCGAGGCGGGCAGGCGGCGCGGGCAGGCGGCGCGGGAGAGGCGGCGCGGGCGAGGCGGGCAGGCGGCGCGGGCGAGGCGGCGCGGGCAGGCGGCGCGGGCGAGGCGGCGCGGGCAGGAGGCGCGGGCAGGCGGCGCGGGCGAGGCGGGCGAGGCGGCGCGGGCGAGGCGGCGCGGGCGAGGCGGCGCGGGCGAGGCGGGCGAGGCGGCGCGGGCGAGGCGGCGCGGGCGAGGCGGCGCGGGCGAGGCGGGCGAGGCGGCGCGGGCGAGGCGGCGCGGGCGAGGCGGGCGAGGCGGCGCGGGCGAGGCGGCGCGGGCGAGGCGGCGCGGGCGAGGCGGCGCGGGCGAGGCGGCGCGGGCAGGCGGCGCGGGCAGGCGGCGCGGGCAGGCGGCGCGGGCAGGAGGCGCGGGCAGGCGGCGCGGGCGAGGCGGGCAGGCGGCGCGGGCGAGGCGGCGCGGGAGAGGCGGGCAGGCGGCGCGGGAGAGGCGGGCAGGCGGCGCGGGCGAGGCGGCGCGGGCAGGAGGCGCGGGCAGGCGGCGCGGGAGAGGCGGGCAGGCGGCGCGGGCGAGGCGGCGCGGGCGAGGCGGGCAGGCGGCGCGGGCAGGCGGCGCGGGCAGGAGGCGCGGGCAGGCGGCGCGGGCGAGGCGGGCAGGCGGCGCGGGCGAGGCGGCGCGGGCGAGGCGGCGCGGGCGAGGCGGCGCGGGAGAGGCGGGCAGGCGGCGCGGGCGAGGCGGGCAGGCGGCGCGGGCGAGGCGGCGCGGGCAGGAGGCGCGGGCAGGCGGCGCGGGAGAGGCGGGCAGGCGGCGCGGGCGAGGCGGGCAGGCGGCGCGGGCAGGAGGCGCGGGCGAGGCGGCGCGGGAGAGGCGGCGCGGGAGAGGCGGCGCGGGCGAGGCGGGCAGGCGGCGCGGGCGAGGCGGGCAGGCGGCGCGGGAGAGGCGGCGCGGGCGAGGCGGCGCGGGCGAGGCGGGCAGGCGGCGCGGGCGAGGCGGCGCGGGCAGGAGGCGCGGGCAGGCGGCGCGGGCGAGGCGGGCAGGCGGCGCGGGCGAGGCGGCGCGGGAGAGGCGGCGCGGGCAGGCGGCGCGGGCGAGGCGGCGCGGGCAGGCGGCGCGGGAGAGGCGGCGCGGGCGAGGCGGGCAGGCGGCGCGGGAGAGGCGGCGCGGGCGCGGCCCCGGGCCCCCGAGGCCCGAGCCAGTCGGCAGCGGCCCGCGGCGGGGGGCAGGGGCCCGCGCGCGGTGGGAGCTGCTCCACCGGGAGCAGCGGGTTCCGGGGCTCCTCCGCGTGTCACGTGTCACAGTGACCTTTCCCACGGCTTGGAGCCCACACGAGTCAGCCGTGCTATTGGTGCCTTCTGTGACCGGTTACAGGGATGCCCCAGTACTTCCTGTCCCTACTTTCCACTTCACGGTGTGCTTCTTGCTCCGGAGAGGGCTCAGAGTTTGGGTTTGTTTAGAAACAGGATGAGATTTAGACCAACCGTAAGTTACTAGCGTTTGGCCAGGCGACTCAAGCCTGTGTCCCTGTCTGGGAGGTGGAGGTCGCTGACTGCAGTTGGAGCCCCAGCAAAAAGGTTGAGAGAGTATCATGACCAAAAGCTATGTGCAGTAGTGTGGGCCTGTTATCTCAGCCAGAGGGGGAAAAGAAGCTGGCCCTTGTTAGCCCAACAACTTTGTGAAACAACTTGGAGGACTGCAGCCCAGGCCTACCAGGGAACAAAGCAAACCTTACCTGGTAAATAACCAATGCAAAAAGGAGGCGGGGAGGCTGGACTCAAGAGATAGAGCACCAGCTTAGCAAGTGGAGACCCTGAATTCAATCCCCATTACAGCCCCACCCACCAAAAAAATAAATTACTAGCATTGGGAGCTGCTCCATGAAGAGACAACTCCCATAGTAACCCTCCTACTGACCATGGGACATTTAACAGCCTTTCACCCAAACATTCACATGTCTTCATAGTGTCTGTCAAGCTTCTGATAGTATCAGTTCTTAGTGTGTGACAAATGGTAGGTAACATTTGATCTGCATTATTAAATATTAGCTTTTAGTGTTTATGTGAAGAGTGTTATGTCACTGTCCTAGAGGTTTTATGTTTTAGCTCGCTCCATCCTTCAGCCACAGATGAGAAAACTGAAGTTGTTTTCTTGCCTCTCCTGAGATACTTGGTTAATAAGTAGGAGAACTTGGATTTCAATATAGTACTGCATAATTTCAAGATTGTTTCCAGTTGAAACAATCACCCTTCGAAGTCTAGAAAGATGTTTTCCATTTCATAGCTGGGAAAACTGACTTAGGATAAGGGAGCTCAAGGTAGCATGACCATTAGCAGAGTCTTAGCATTCTTTACACTGTGCCCTATAAAGAATAAGGAAACTGGTTAGCATTTGTTGTTTGCTAGGACTGTCAAGGTTGAAAATATTTGTGACTTCATGTTAGTTTATGGCTCTAAAGGGCATAATGTTTTTCAGGTTGTGGCATCAGCTGACACTTCAGGTGCTTGATTTTGTGCAAGACCCGTGCTTTGCCCAAGGAGATGGTCTCATTAAGGTAAATCATTTATGGTGATAAGTCAGATTATATGAATATGTTTAAGACTTTCTAACTGCTTTGTGATGATCATAATGAGATCAAATCACTTTATGCCAGGGATTGTTGTAGGCACTCTCTATATTTTTTTATAACTTTGGGGAACAGCTACTACTTG